GCTCAAATTTAATATCTTCGAATTTTTGCAGTGCAGATATGATTATAACTTTATGCAGGTATTTGCACATAAACGATAACTGGAAAGTGTTTTACAAACTAACCGAAGGCCGGGTGAGTCTTCCGCTTTTTCGACATCTTGAGCAGTCGTTCAGCTGCGTTCTTCACGAGTACGACTCATTGTCCCGAATGTGAGCGAAAAGTCGTGAAGATCATCTGGGTTCTGCGAGCGCCGGTGTGGGTTGTCGATAGAGGCCGATTGTGGTCGAACCAAAGAAAGCGAATTGTCACCATGAACGTGCCACGCATCGCCGACAACATCTTCACAAGCTTTCCGACCGTCGCGCACTCGAATTTTCCTAGACAAAACAATGTCAAGCCATGTCAATCGCTCGAAGAGCGGTGATAACCGCTCGAGCACCTGCGACCAGAGCTGCTATGAGAGCGTGCAGCGGAAGAACAAGTGCTGCTTGGTCTCGATAGAGGTATACCTGTCGCGGATACAGAACCGAAAGCGCAGATCTGTCTCCTCGAAGAACCAGTATCTCGAGCGCACCGGTCAAGCCGATACTGCAAGTTGTCGAAGACAGAAAGAGGATCTTGCACAAATGCTTTCCGAAGTTGAAAGACGACTTGATGTGCGCTTCGTCGACTCGTTTCGAGTAAACCGTCATTGGTTGTGACTTCATCGGTGGTATGGATGTTTGGAAAAGTGCAGATTGCGGGATGCCCGGAAGCAAGCACGTTTTCACGCCATTTGTGCAGCCTTAGTGAAGTAGCAGACGCGTTTGCTCGCTGTTTAACGGAGATGACACAAGTTGCGACGTGCCAAGTCAATTCACGGTCTGAGTTGCTTTATTATGCAGCTTCCGCAGCCACTTTTCTTGTAAACCAGGAGTAACTAGTAATTACGCATACAGTAAAATGCCTGCTCAAGGTATTTTTCATTTTGCTTAGGATGTTTTCGTGTTAATGTTAGCGTAGGGATCTTCTTTTGATTGTGTTCACTTAAATGTTAAGTTTGGTAAGTACTGTGCGATACTGTTTTGAGTTATCTTAGAAGCATTAGACAAGCTTCGGTCTGGTAATTTCTACCGTCAGACTCGCGCAAGCTGCGGCCAAGCAAAGTGTCAAAGTTAAGGCACACGTGGTTGATGGCTTCTATCGTCCGTTCCAATCTCGTAGGCTTTGAGGTAGTATAGCTTATCTCGGTATCCAGGTGAGGAGCACTCGGTATCTCCTTAAAATACGATAGTACATATCGAGATTAGCAGTCAATGTAGTCAAGAAAATGGGAGCGCCCTTCTCCTTACTCTAATGGAAACGAAGCAGCAGCATGAAGATATCACAGTAGTAATGATGCCATTGTCGCAAAAGAAATCAGCTCCTGCTGCCAAGCAAAATATCTACACAAAAGGATAAAGCAACATCAGTTCTTATGGTGACGTTAGGACCTTCTCATCTCCTGCTTCTTCTGCTTCTTCTAGAAATGATGCCGCTATTATGGAAAGGTGAAGTGAAGCAGTAGTAAGAAATGGTAATAACGACAAGATCATGGCGGAAAAGAGTCGATAGCAGGACTGAAGAAAACAGGCGAAGCTCACCTTCAAGTACGGCTGCAGTCAACGTAGAGCTGGAGTGACAGTCACGATGCCTTGACGTACACCTAATACCTATGTAAAGCTAATTCATGGAGATTTGGACGAATAATCGCTTAAATTCCTCCAGCACCAACATGCCTGTGATGTACTATTCATAGTGATCTACGATGGAAGAAACGACGGTGAAGGACGGTGAAAGCAGTGCAAGAATGCGTTGAGACCAGAGGTGCCAAGTGCTCTTGCCACTCACGGACACGGTGAGACGCTTTAAGTAATATATAAAAGAAGGCGAGGTGAACGGACACTGTAACGGGGCTACACGTACTCTAGTGTGTAGGGGTGGGTCACACAAGATGGTGAGACCATACAATGGAGTGGATCCCACAAGATGGTGTGACCATACAATGGTGTGGCTACATCTTATCAAGAAGTCACTACGTGGCTGGACTGCCAGTAATTATGCATTTTAATCAAGTTTTACAATTTAATCAGAAAAACGTATAGATTAAGATATAGGCGGCTTTGCCGCAAATAAAACAGAAGAAATACAGTTTACTTCAACGGAAGAGTTTATTTGATTGGATTAAGGTTGTGGCTACTCTTGAAGTAAGCAGATTGCGATCCGCTACACTCGTACTAGTTCTAGTTTAGAACGAAGGTTGATGACCTTAACTAAGCTTCCTCTTAGCGAAAGAGCTATGGCAGCCTCACTGCACTTGGTAGCCCTAGTTGTCAATCGTCACCTGAGTCGTTACGACTGATCCTCTGTGAGGATGGAGCACTTCTTCTATTTGCCCCAGGGCATGCAGGACTGGCTTAAAAAGCTGATGTCTCTATCTGGCCCTGAGGGCGTGCAACACCTCGCTTTGCAAGGACCTGAAGTGGTCAGCGCACGCCTAGAGGCGCTTTCGAATTATGCAAATGTCCTACTAGAGCATCTACAGCAGAATTCTCGGCGTCAACTGCGTCCGTGACGTAACCGTCGACGACGGATCACTACTTTCGACCCAGGCCGCCCATGGTGAGCGTTAAGACCTTCGAGGGTAAGAATGGAAAGAACCTCCTGCTCTGGGTATCAGAGGCCGAGATTGCTATGGAGTCCACTATGCTCCAAAACGAACAACAGCGCATGGTACTAGCTATCTCCAAGCTTGGTGGTCGAGCGCGAGAATGGGCACTGACGAGCGGCACTTCAGTTGAAGTGGCATTTCCTTCTTGGACAGAGCTGAAGCCGCATCTTTTCCGAGTGTTCTCGCCGCCTAGTCAAGCATATCCGCGTGGGATCGCGTTCCCTTGCCGTCCGACAGGGCAAGAAGTAATTGGTGAGTTTGTCCAAGTGTTGCGAACTCTGATTGCCGAGAATGGCAGCCGATTCGCTCTCCGAGGCAGTCACAGTGACCGTCTTTATAGAGAGCCCTCGCACTGGCGTGGCCAAAAAAGTTGTCTCCCGTGTCCATCCGCCTTCGTTTGAAGAAGCGGTGAATGCGGCATTGACTGTCGAATTCAACTTTAAGTCGACACGACTTGGTTGGGGTGCACACCGCCAGAGCTCGTTGAGCGGGGCTGAGCCAATAGACCTCAGCCATGCTGAGAAAGACGAGGAGACCTCCGAGCCGCTGAGCAGCGTGTAAATACCCGACATTGTTTTGTCTGTTAAGACATCTATCACCTTTGGACTCGTTGTTTCATGCGCAAGGCGCGTTAAGATCCTTTCGAGCCGACGTACTACTAGCGTGTTTGTCGCGGGCAATGAGAAAAACCAGTAGGCGCGAGACGCCCTTCTGGGGAAGAACTTAGTTCTGTTGAGCACCAAAGAGGCAGAGGTCAGCTGGGCCCAGCCCCGAAGAGCTCTGTGCTCTTGAATACGAAACGTGTGCGCAATCCGGGCTTGCTGGTCGTAAAAGCGACCATGAATGGCTTTGAAAAGATCCCGTTCAACTCCTAAGCATCGGACAATTATGCTCGACGCTCCACGATAAAAGGAAGTCAGCTTTATGCTGAGGCGCTGAAAGCGCGGTTCGTCATTGTTCGCTAAGAGACGGGGACATGTGTCAAGGCGCCGAGGGACTCTGTTGACCTCGAAGTCAAGTTTCTTGACTTTGATAGCGTAAAACGCAGCTTATTCTTAGATTTTGTCTCTAATAATTACCTTATCCTTGGTATGGCATGTAGAACACCATTAGCCAATAATCGATTGGAGGTCGAAGACCTGGGTGCTATACACAAATCACCTGGTGGAGCTTTGGCGAGTCATGAACCCACCTCTATTAGGGTGTAAAAACGTTATTGGCACGGGCACTGGACTGAGACGGTCAACGTTCTGGAAATCGGAGTATCCAATTTGCTAAAAACGGAAGGTGTATCGGACCGGAGCCCCGAGCACGGCTCGCGGGCTTAATGTGGAGTGGCATGTAACCACTGAGATATGCTCAAGTATCTGAACAGTAGCTGCATGCCAAGAATGTCAAGTCGGCCAAGGGCCGAATCATCAATGGCTAGATACTTGTGATGCGCGTGGAGTGGCACGTAATTTTCTGGTCACTGCTCACGTTTCGAAGCAGTAATTGCATGTTAAGAGTGGCATGGTCGGATGAGGTCCGAAGCATCCTGAGCAAGAACCTTCAGATGCGAGTGGAGTGGCACATTATCCACTGGACGAAAACTGTAGAAATAGCAGCTCGTTGTCGGATGTTGTTAATGACATCAAGACTCCGATGGAGCTGGGAGTGGGGACACTGGGCGACGCCGTGTGCATGTCTCACTGGTCACAATGAGACGTAAAACCTATATAGAAAGGAGACAGCGAAGCCATATGTTTTCTGCAAGATGTCGGGTGTCGACCCTGACCCAGGGTGTGTCTAACGTAGACGATAGCGCACAGCTATATACCCTTGTCAGCGGTATGACGGGAGAGGAAGACAGCGACATCTCCCTCGATGCTATTCCTCCGGTGATTGCCTTTCTTGGTCTGGACGAGATGTATTCTGAAGGGCTCGGTAGTGCTGCGAAGGCAGGCAGTTTAGCTGAGGTGGTCATTATGAGACCGAATGAGGAGATTCGTCGTCGCTACTGGGTGCCCAAACATGAATACGGTACGGGGCTGGATAGCCAGTAGTTATCCATGTATTTAAATGTTACTATACATATTTAGGAAAATCTATGCGTTTAAATTAAGCGGTTCTGCCGCAGATAAAAATAAATAAAGTCAGTTTTTGAATTTGAACGGAAGAGCTAATTAGCCTTGGGTTATGGTCGTAATTACTCTTGGAGTAAGCGGATTGCGATCCGCTAAACTCGTACTTGTTCTAAGTA